TTAGTAAAATATCAAAGTGTGAAGATTCGAGTAAAAAAAGCTCGGCACGAAACGTGTTAAATTTGAAATGTTTAATTCTATATTTACTTTACGCCACACCATTTTTCGACTGTCGGATCCGTAAAGATTACATTTGCTTTCATCCGAAAATATTACATCATTCCACCACCAGTTGTCTTTGTACAAATATTCTTTTGCAAAGCTCAATCTTTTCTTGCGATTTGCTTCATTTATGTGTGGCTGTCTACGAGGAACTCTTCCGTTGTAACTATAAGTTTTTAATACCCCTCGTATACTGTGTCCGGGTGTACCTTCTTCCCAGATTCTACGAACAACTTCTTTGTTAAGTTTGTAGCACTTTGTCCAGAATTTGTTCATATTATCTTACGTTGGTCGCGAGAGTCTAATAATTTTGGACCACCTTTCTGACGAATTAAATCGATTGAATCTTCACGAATGTATCGACGTATAATATCTGCCATACTACTCTTGCTTACATTTAATAATTTGGCTATATCTCTGTATGATTCTCCCTTTTCCTTGTGATAGATAATCAATTGTCGGATTTCAAAAGACGTATTTCTTCCTTTTCGTCCCATTTTCACAAGTAAAGCGTTTGATATCACCAATAATTTCTGTGGTACCGAGTTCTCATAACGAATTTTTATTTGTTTATAAAATTTGTTACAACATAAAAGTTGTATTGGAAATGGGTAGATAAATAAAAGTAAAACGCAGTGAATTAAACTTATCCCTTTTAGTTTATTAATTTGATGTACGAGGAAGGACCGTCTTTACTCTCCTGATTGCTCCAGGAGACTGAAGACTATTCACAAAGACGAAACCAAAAACGTCGCCTAAAGACAAAGAGCACTCTGTTCTATATACATATGAAATCATTGTTTATCTAATGGTACTCTGGCGAGACTCTCGGCGTCGATTCGTTTTTGTAACTTATATGCTAGAAGGAAAAACTTCTGAGTATTCAAAAGAGAGAAAATAATCCAATAAGTTGTTATAAACAATGTGCGTTAGCGTCGTCGTCAATGTAGTACAGTATTTTACTCTGGCATCTAAGATGTTGTGTCCGAATATTTTTGCGACGTTAAATTTTGTCACAATCTTGTTTATCGCTTATTATACAAAAGAACATGCGCAATAAATAAACAAAATTTATATTTCTACTTATTTTAAGAAGTGCTTTATCGTATGAGAAAACAATTGATTCAATAACACTGTAGTAAACAGTAAAAAGGAGCAATAATTTTTCCAATAATATCGTGTCCGAATATTAATGCGAGTCACTGTATGTTAACAAGGATGGCCATCTCCGGCATGTTTTGCTGTACGATTAAATCGTAAATGTGTATTATTATTAACATAGCACTCCGCAGTTTCCTAAAAATTGATTACTTTGTTACGACATTGATCGTACAGCGAAACATGTAAGAGATGTTCATTCTTGTTATGTAATAGGCAATTATTATGCGAGAAATTTAAGTTGTACATTAAACTGCTGGATCGACCCAATTAAATCGACGCACCAAAAGTTTGATCGTAATCTCCGTAATTAAAGTCTGCATCGCTGCTATGAAACTTCAAAGTGGAGGAATTGCAGTTTGACCTAGGAAGGGAATGAGAGATAACCGAAAGACAAAAACACGAGCGACGAGTAGCCGGAACATCCCCCCGTGTGACGGATTAAATGAATAACTTTTTAGCATGCTAAACACCGTTGGAGACGTTAATTATCGACCTAAGGCACGGATTAATTGTATTTGCAGGTAAAACGTGAGAAAACAGTGTCCATTTTGTTATCAAGTTCAACATCAACCGTGATACATGACGCAGGAATTTTTCCGAGTTCCGACGTTAATGACAAGATACTAATTGCGGCGAACCTACCTTCGTGACCGGTCGTTTTGTTTCTCCAGCTTGAACAGTGATGGGCGCCGTCATTGGGAGCATGGGAGCATTATCATTAACGTCATTCAAAGTTACCACGAACGATAATGGCGCGGAAGCTGCGACTCCCGTTTTTTCCCTGGCGACCACTTGAAACCGGAAACGACCGGGGCTCGGTGGATCTCGATCTAAATTTTCTTCATTTACGACCAATACTCCGGCAGGATCAATCGCGAAGAAGCTGGTCGTTAATTCGAACGAATAGGTCGGCTTCGGGTCTTCGGGTCCCTGGACATAAATTTGCATTTATCGACTGGTAATATCAGTGTCACCATAATTTAATGTGATTTCTAAACTTTGCTTATTCATGGCGCTTCTCGATCATTGAACATTCTGGTAAAAATGTTAACAAGATTCTCGTGCTCGTTGGAAGATGATGAGATAGATCTCTAATGGAGTTAAGTTACCAAAGCTCGTTTAAGATATCGAATAAATAAATATAAAATTAATAAAACGTTGCTTCGTTTCCTAACCCTTTATAAATTAAATGTGGTCTTGAGAAATAAGGAATAACTGTTTCTAACATTTCTTATAATGAAGTTGTTAGACCAGTTAGAATATACTGCGAATTTTATGGATTTATGACAAAAACGGCTAAATGAAATACAAAATGGTAAATGAAAGAAATACGTTTAACAATGCTGTTCGATTATTTTCAACGTATTAATAGTATAAATGTTAGAAATGAAACGGAATTTTTATTTAACTTCAGTTTGCTGTAATCAAGATAGAGAACTTTTATCTTGCATAAAGATCCGCGGTCTAATTATTAATAATAAATTTTATTATTCTTTATTATTTTTATTATTCTTTATTCTGTTCTTTTATATTAATTGCGAATGAAAAAAACATCGAAGATCACAAATGCTTCTGCAATTTATAAATTAAAGCAATTTCGAACGCATAGTATTGCTCCACACAAGGCATGTTTTTGTTTAGGATGCAGTCAGAAAAAATTTGCATATCGAAATAGAATGCTTCAAAGGTGGATCTCAAAGCAGGTTGATCAAATATTTTTCATTTCAATGACAATTCCTCCTTCATGAATTTCGCTTTCGTATTTCACAGAAGTTTTGTAGCTTTCGACGTTCTTCCATCCTTTATTTAAAAGAGAAAAAAAAACGAATTTTCTTTACAATGTTTACAGATCAAGATATAAAATATTTATAGTTTCGTTCCTCAAAAAATTCTTTGCAAATTATACTTTCGTGGTTCCACTTTGACTGGCACGCTAATAACCTCAAAAATATCTCAACATTAAATTAAATTAAATTATATATATATATATATATATATATATATATATACATTTATAAATAATTAAATAATAAATATATAAATATATAAATAATAAAATATTTCCCTCTCAACATTAATATTATTATATATATTTAGATAATAATTCAAATGATTATATAAATTTTATAATTAAATTAAAATATTGTAAAGTAAAGTTGTTTGACATCAATTACGTCTTTAGCATTAAGGTACAAATTAATTTTCAAATCTGAGTAAATTATTTCGTCGCCTATATATATGTATAGGTGATGCGACAACCAAAGTGTTAAGGCACTAATTAGAGGATAAAATGACTGAATGAATTCAAATGTGCATTAAATTCTACTAAATTGGCACACGCATCCGTGTGCCGCATACTGCCGGGTTCTACTAATTCCTCGTGTCCTTGCAACGCGTCCTATGCAACGGCTAAACAGGAACGTCATCCGCTAACAATGAGGCGAATTAAACGGCCGATCCGTATCTCGTTCACGGTTCGGTGAACGGTAGAAGATCAAGTTTAAAGATTACACTTACCAAATCAGCGTCTGAAACGGTGAGTACTATAGGCCCGCCATTTTTATCGATCACCTTTGTTCCGATCGCGGCGTTCTCATCGACGAAACCTTCGACGTTCGATGCCGTTATAATTGGAGGATTGCTGTCGACCGGCTTCACGGTAATAGTCAATTTAGCTGTCGCCGATCGCTTCGCTTCGGATACTTCAACGGCCTTCCATGGAAAAAAAAAAGAAAGAACAACTTTTAAACACCCTCATCCGCTTTAATACTTGACGTCGCTGCCACCCTGTGCAAGCCCTCTTCGCGTACAAGTGGAAACAGTGTTGACGCGTTTGGAACTCCACTGATCGCATATGAACATTCGATCGGTTTAATTTTAGTTGATATCTGTTCTCATGATAATATGACATATTATTTTTGTTTATGTAAATATACATTATTTTTATACGATCACATAAATGTACATTATGTTTATAAATTTAAGTTGTTAAGGGTGTTCCAGTTAAGTTGAGATTGAAAAAAATCTCGTAGACACGTGATTTAAAAAAGAAAGCAAACTGACACATGTCATTTAGTATTTCTAGTGGGGAATCAAATGGCGATACCAGTTTTTCAATGCCTGGACGTTATCAAGATAATTTCAAGGTTATCTTGTTTCTTTTTATCGTGAACCTATATTTTTTATTTCGGAATCATATTCTACGTAAAAAAAGCACAAGTTTTGAAAAACTTTGTCGTAACATGATGTTTCAGAAAAAAGTAACATTGTCTTTGTATATGATTTTTACATCTCTGTAAAAATATATGTACATACGTAAAGATAAAAATTAACGACTGTACATCATACAGAAATGTTTGTACAAAATATATATTTACAGAATATTATTTATATAATATATGAACGTAATGCACATTTGTATATAAACGCATGTTTATA